TGATAAGACTAATTACTAAACCAACCCACATTGGATCACGTGATATGCAATGCATGCGAATGGCATGTCGTGCATGACAACTTTCTCTTCTCGCACTCTACCGCGCCTAACACAATTAAAACAGCTCGTAGGGTACAATAGGGCAGGAGTTAGTGTCACGTCTGGACGCACTAAATAGCGCAGACTATGACAAATGATGCGACTTAATAATCGTTTTAATCAGAACCTCCAGGTTACTACTTCTTTCTTTTCTTTTATTTTTTTTTAAAAAGCACAGCACCATACTGTCCACACATAAAAGAAACAAAGTCATTCTTGTACGGTACCTCTTACTAAGTTTTGTACCTACCGAATTCCGATTTAGATTCGAAAATAATAGAAAGAATGAAGACAATAACTCGGGTTTACTATGCCATAAATTATATTTCTATGATAAAAGATGCTAAATATTTAGCCCTCAGGTTTTAAATTTACAATTATTCTTCGATAAAACATGCTTAAGTTATCATTGTTTTCATTAAAAAAAAATCAATTTTTTAAACGTATAATACATTATTATAACACATTTTACGAGATTATCTAGAGATACGAGTCTCATACAGTCGAGTATCAATAGCTAAATCAATCATTTTAGTGTTAAATAAGTAATAGCTCGAAAACATAATTAGCCAACTCATTAAAACTTGAACACTATAAATCTTTAAACGTAATTAGAATTAACTGTTATATAATAAATATGTAAATAGGCCTAAGGGTGTAAATACCAAAGGGGTGTTTTATTTAGCATATCGAATGTAAGCGAAAGGATCAATAAACCTATAGCGGAGCAATTTTAGAACGTTTTGAACACGTCTTTAAAGGTAAATATAGTAAAAAAAAAATCAAGAAAATATTTCGTATAACATTCTAAACACATAGACTACAGGATAATTATTAATGAATATGTAAATATGTACCGGTAACGAGTGATTGACTATGCGTTTTATATTCAAATAATCCTATAACTTAGCTTGAAAATTAAATTCTAGACCATTTTACACCAAACAGAAGTAATTAAAAAGAAAAAAATGATTATAAATTATTTTAATAATATATTTTTAAAGAAAAATTCAACATATTCGCTAGTTTTTAAATCTTAAAAAAACGGATAAAATATTAAAATTTATGTATAAAATATTAACGTTGAGAAAATTCTAACAAAGTTACTTAATTACGCGAAAAAATAACTTTATTTTTCATTAAAATTAAATTAAAAACAAATAAAACACTCACTACATCGAATAAAAATAATGCAAACCTTAAGACAATTAATTACAATTGTAGGCCTTAAAAAAAGTCAATTTTTATGAAGAAAATATTTTAAATTATTATTATTTTCGAATGGAAGATAATTATTAATTAACTATAAAATAAAGTTAAGAATATAAAAGATAGAAAACACTAATTATTCTATATATGATTAACGCATAATTTTGCACATAAAAAGTCAAGAAAACACTTCATTTAACATCAATATACATCTAATTAATAAATTTCTAAGCATATATTTATATTAAAATCAAACAATCAATAAGTCTTATCCATTTAACAAGACCAAAGAGTATAAAAATAAGCTAGAAAAAAAATATATATATATACGATATCTTAGAAAATGGATAAATTTAATCTAACATAATTCTGTTTAATTTTATTAAATGAACCAAAAAAAAAAATTCACCGTTAATATTTAAATATATCGTCAACTAATAAAATTAAATGAGAAGCGCAATTAAATCCAAATATTTATAATTTCATTATTGGTAATGTTTCTTTTTATTTCCCAAGGAAAAAAAAAATTGAATAAAAAAAAAAAATAAGAAGAGAAAGAAATTGTTAGAAACGATATTTTTCTCGTTTTAATGAATTGCATTTTTGAAAATAAATTGTAATGTTTCCATCTGAATATTATTTGAATATATTTTTTTCTCTTCAATTCCATAAGGTTTAAAATGGGAAAAATGTTTTTCTTGTCACACAATCCAACAAGAACATTTAAAAAAAAAAATGTATTTTTGCATGTTTCTTTTTTTCTTCGTACATTGAAATTTTCTTTGGTAAAATATTTTACTTGATTTCAAATGAACTACATCTAATATAATTACGGATTGGTATTTAAGTATATCGATAAATAGGAAGTAATTTAAGTAGGAATTGATAAGTATGAGAGATTGCATTATTTTATTATTATATATATATATATATGTTTTTTTTTCAATAAAATTTCGATATTAGATCCAATAGCTTTTTTAGAAAAGAAGAAATGACGGAAGGAGAGAGAGAGAGAGAGAGAGAAGTCTGTTTTCTGCCAACGTCACATTATTGGGGAGGCTGACAAAATTGCCCCGGTCAATCGATAGCTTATTGCTAGATATCAATCACTACAAACATTCTATTACAGCCGGGAATGAGAAAAGGATCTGGATGAACAGAAGTGTGGATTTTATTGTGTGGAATGATTGTTTTTCTTACCCGCAGAAAGTGTTCCAAGACAGATTTTCAAAAGGGGAAAAACGAAAAAAAAAAAAAAAGAAAAAATCATGTTTTGTGCAATAGTCCGTCAGCCGTGATTCAAATCTTACACGATTGTCTAGGAGGATGGCGCTTAGTAATTCCCGTATTCATCATTTCTGAGTATTTCCGACCTCTGTGCTCTCACCATCTGGCAGTACTTCATTCACATCACCGTTTAGAACTGTGACTAGCGATGCTTCGTTCCCGGAAAAATTCTCCGATATTGGGGGTCCTATTCATTGTTAGCTAGTTTCCTTTCATCCAAAACAAGAAACAAGTTCATTTATCTACTCAACAAGCTCTAAACTAAATTAAAGAAACGGGAGTAATTAAAGTGATGTTTCCTCCGCTGTGTTAGTGGAGGAAACATCACATATTTAAAAAAAAACTTTTTTAAATAAATTGAAGTTGTCCATCATAATCGAAAACTATAGAAATCCGTTGGTGAAATGAAGCAGAGCAAGGAAAAACCCATGGAAGAATTGAAATCATAGAGTAAAGGGAAAAAGAATGCCAATTGGTTTCGACTCTATGAGAGAATGGATAAATAAATCTCTTAGCGTAATGCCAAAAATCAATTGGTGGTAGGTTTTTAAGCATGTTTAAGGTAATTTAAGTGGATATATTAGTATGTTTCATTGTTATAGTCTCACTTAGAGCCGGGTTAGAGCGTGGATGCGATGCACAAGCCCAGATCATTAGATGAACTTCTTTTCAGCTGTCTAGTGTAGAGCCCGGCATCTATTTTCTTCCATCCTTACCACTTACCGTCTTTCTTCCCCTATTCCGCTTTGTATAACCTACTGGGACTGGATGGACGCGTTCGAGAAGTTTCCGCCGCTTGTCAATTTTTCCGGCCCACACCGTTGCATAAAAAATTGATTTGCACACGGTACCAATAAATCTGTATTCCGAAATGCCTTGTCAAATTGTTCACAGGGGAGATACACATCTTCAGAGCGCGAGCTCGAAGAGATAGCGAAAAAACGTCCTCCATGAATCACAGGAGGGAAGGGGCAGTGTGTGGGTAGAGCACAACATGGCCGCCATTATTTCCCCGGTTTCTCCCCACACACACCTAAAAGGGACATTTGGAGATGCATGATAAATATAATGTAAATGGCTATTTTGAAAAATTTCTGCCTGGCAATGGTCTCCCCCGACATAATCTCACACCGGAGGATTTTTAACCGGTTCCTTGACAAATGGCTCCACGAAATGAATGCCGAAAGTCACGAACATTTCTCGGTCCGAGCTCTCGCAAGTGAAAAACGTTCGGTAATGTTAACTAGGCACCGGAGAGATCGGGCGAGAAGACGAGTCTAATGACAACAGGACCCGAAGCCTGTGTGAGTGATAGGGTGGAGGCGAGTGATGCCGCGTGCACACAAGCGATATCTGGTTGGCGGGCAACAGCATTTTTTTTTTACGAGTGGAGTTATTTATAGGCATTATCTTGTCGCATTTCATTCCGGTTGGTGTCATGTCCAACAATTATTGCTCTACACAGGAAAGTAAATATGTAAATTATGACCGAAACTCCCCTATTTACGAAGCGCTCCACTTCTTTTCGTACGGGTTTCTATACCGATTTCTATAGCATTTAACTCTGCAAAAACTGAAACTATTAGCTCAGTTTGCTCATTTAGATCTAAATTTATAGATTCGAGCGATTTAGTTTTCTCTAGTAACACAATACACTCTACGAGAGTAATCTGTATTTAATGATGAGCCGATGATTGACTGTAATTATTAGATTATTAGGTCGGCAACCGCAGAACCGCCTTCCGAGGAGGGTATTGGACCAACCTGCTGCTTTCGGTTCGAAAATAATAATCCATTAATGCATGAATTGATGTATAATTAATTTTTCGTGTTATACAAAACACGTCCTTGTGTCGCAGTTTACTTCTTCTGCCAGGACTCTAACACACGACTATTAAAGTATATTCTTTTATCTTCTAGACATGTGTTGCAACATGTCTTAATGCAAAGAAGCCAAAAGCACTCTCCATTATCCGCTAATGATTTTGTCTCATTTGATGAGTCTAAACCATAGGAAGATAATGGAATGCCTACCATAAATATAAGCAGGATAACAAAATGCATACAGTAATTTGAACGGGGCAATGAAGTCACTAGTTAAAAAGGAATAGAATTATGAATGCCTGTGGTAACTGTGAATAGGAGTATGGAGTGCCTATGGTAAATGAGAACGGATACTGGAATGTATGTCTAAATCTGTGCAAGGTATTTAAATGCCTAGATTAAATATAGCGCATTATAACTGAATATTAACAATTAGAAATAAACCTCGAATATTAATCAGCATTAACTGTTAATGATTGTTAACATAATAAAGATTTTTAGAATATTTTATTTAATTATAAAAATTGAATGTAATCGAAAAGTAATAATTTCTCTAAAAATATTTCAAAAATAATACTTGCCATGCGATACCCAACCGTGTTTACATGTATCACACGTTCTCAATTGCGACTTGCCAGGCGTAAAACAATCACAGGAACAATTTGGAGTTGTACACCTGATCGCCTAAAAGAGACGAAAGAAAAAAAAAATACAATTTAATTTAATAATTTATTGTTGTAAATGGAGTTAAAAATTTGCAAAATCAACTATAATCTTTAAAGATTAATTTCTAGAAGTATCGGTTTTTAATCTATAAAGGAAATCTACGATATGATCAGTGGACGAAGTGGTGCAACACTTCACGTATCGCCTCTTAACAACGTCGTACACTCACCCGTTTGGACAGTTACAGTTCATGGCATCGACTCTCGAATGTGTTGCCATCCGCACAGGGGTCGAAAGTCTGCGCAACCGATAACGACTCGACCGGACAAAACCTAAAACTGTACTAGAGCTTAATTATACCCAGGTGACGGCGTGTGTTCTGTGTTTTACTTTTTCCTCCGAGATAAAAACGTCGCATTTCCACTCATCATTGATGTACGACAACGTTGTGGCCCCCGTTATCCGAACGGCCAGCCCTTGGCCGTCCATCCCCAGGGATAGCTTTTGAACAGTCGAGCTGTCGTAACTCACGGATCCATTCTAATATCTGCAGTAGAGAACCGTTGGAAATTGATTTACAGCCAGTGTATGTTGAAATTTTAAATTTCCTCACCTAGAGACAAAGTTGAAGCAAAGGAAAGAAAAAAAGGTGTTTCCCGGAATAGGTAATGCACCTGGAGTAAGGTCTCACTACCTTTTCTGTTAAAAAATTCAAAAACTTTTAAGATGTTTATTAAAACATGCCATAAAAAGCTTTTCGGCATGAGACCCCGAGCAACAAGGATGATAAGATAATTCACTTCCCCTTTCCCAAAGAAACAAGAAAGTGTTAAACTTCGAATACTGGACATACGATTCACGTTCAAAACGGCAATTCGCACAACTGCGAGGGAATCTTTAACCGATGATTAATGGGCTATGAATGTAGCAGGAACCATCTCATTAACCGAATATATTCCGATGAACTCTGACCCGGACGTAATAACCGGTTTCATTTATTACTGGCGGCCACGACTTTATTGCCTAATTTTGGGCAATTAAAAGAAGCAAAGTGACAACTAATGTTCGGTTGACGATTTCTTTGTTGCTTGGAAAGTCAAGAAGATATAAAAAATCGTAATTGGGATTTAAAAATATCCGATAACGCCTACGTGTGTGTGTGTGTCAAAGTTTCATTCCAAAACATGCCGAAAGACAGGAAAAAAATTCTAATTTTTTTTGCATAAAGACGAACAAAATAAAGAATAAAAATAAAATACTTTCTTTAATTATTATTATTTTTTATTTTTTTATATAGTAATGGGCGAGATAATAGTTATCTTCCATTGAATTACTAGTATATTCTGAGATCCGGTAACGAAAACTAGTAATAGATTTATTAATGAACAAATAATGATATGTGGCCTAACAGCAGTTTATCACTAGTAATTTATCAGTTATTAACATTGCAGAAATATCTATTTACTAATAATAATTTACTCATTATTGATAGTAAATTACAAGTCATTGCTACTACTTTATTTACTCAGCATGCGACTATAGGCCTTATCATATTTATGGAAAATTACCGCTATTGACTTATATATTTTAATAAACATTTAATTGTAAAATCAGTTAATAATTAGCAACAGAATTGTTAAATATAAGTATTAATTAGTCATCGTAACATCTGTAACTGAAGTAAGTAACCAATGTTCTCAATTCCTGAATAGTCTTTAAGTATGTTCTCGATGATGGAAAAAGACACTTCCAACTAAACTTTGTACAAAAGTTTTTTGGATATCTCCAAAAGCAATTTCTCCAATTTACGTTAGTAAATAATTTTCGTGTAGTAGCCAATGAAGTCAATTGCCAGGACATACATGGAGCGTAGATAATCACTAGAAAGCGAAAGGACACAACAGCATTAAGAGTTACCAAGAGCAGTACTTATGCTGTACGTCTGTTAATTATGGATCAAGTACTTAATGGGAATCGTACATTCTGTGACAGCCAATCTAGGAAATTCCATACTCTTTCCGGCACGTTCAATGCCAGGCCTCATCACTAGTTACTGCAAATTTACTAATTTTATCTTTAGTCTGCAAAGTTCTATAAGCTCGCAAATATAAAGATCCTTATCTACTAATTATTTAAAGCAATTTCGGTTATTGTTTCATTGCATTAACTATAGTAGATATAATTTCTGTAGGCATAAATGATGATGTTATAGTCTAAGTCAATGGTTTAATATAGGCTTGTGACTTTATCGATCCAAGGCAACGAGTTCTCGTTAATGATAGAGAAAACCTGATTCTAACTTATTGATATTTTGACAAGTAAACTAGAAGATCTACTACATTTAAATACACGTAAATTGAAATTACTTACAAAGGACCAAAAGATTTATTTTTTTAAATTAAGATATTAATTACATTGCAGTAGCTATGTGATGTTGATTTTTATCTTTAATGTTAATACAGGAATATATATTTTTATATATAGTGTTAACAAATGTAGTGTTAAAATATATATGGTTCCAGTTATGGAAATTACTTTAAAAATTCGATAAAATCTTCATCAGATATATAAAATTAGGCCTTGATAAAAGTATAACCTTTCGATGCTTTCATCTACTTGATAAGTCTATATGAAAGAGCGAAATGAATAGTTTGTAGCTTTAATGAAGGCATAACTGTCGAAGCATGAATGAAGACATAACTAAAACATAATCAGAGAAAGAATTTACGCATTCTTCCAGCTTAAATAAAAGCATAAAAATTAATGAAATTTGAAGAAATAATAAAATACTTGCCATGCGATACCCAACCGTGTTTACATGTATCACACGTTCTCAATTGCGACTTGCCAGGCGTAAAACAATCACAGGAACAATTTGGAGTTGTACACCTGATCGCCTAAAAGAGACGAAAGAAAAAAAAAATACAATTTAATTTAATAATTTATTGTTGTAAATGGAGTTAAAAATTTGCAAAATCAACTATAATCTTTAAAGATTAATTTCTAGAAGTATCGGTTTTTAATCTATAANAGAAAAAAAAAAAAAAAAAGGTAAAGTTTTCAACAAATTGAATACAAAAATTTCTCTCTAATTCAGATAAAATTTTTCCACTTTACCTATTAATGAAAAGTAGGAAATTACCAATTAGAAGTTGAAAGTAGTTTATCAGATTAAAAAGTCATTAGCTCTTAATTTTAGGAAAATTTTCGAAGATGAAATTTATCGAAAATCAATATTTTTGTTTGTTTTTCTTTTATTTTTAAAATAAATTCTCTAATGATTCTTTGAGGGTAAAAAAAACCATTCTTACGTATTTAAATTAATTTAATTAAGCGTTTAAAAGGTGTTATTTATGTTAAATTCACGATTTTACTTTGTTATAAATATTTTTTTTTAATAGAAAAATTGCACGCTTTAGTTTGATATAATTCATAAAATATAAGTAATATTCGAATCTAATTTTAATAAAAAAATTCGTAATTTGCTGTAGTTTATGGTTAATTATATATATATATATATAAAGTTCGCTTTTAATTCGTACAAAATGCATCGACTTATAATAATTAATTACAAAGAAGCAGATGAAACGAAGCAAGTTTACAAAACAAACGGAAGAATATGCTTAAATTCGGATTTTAAGAGAATAATAACGATTTACTTTCATTAATTCCTTGGTAAGAAATAATAGAAATCGCATTTAGTGTATGTGACAATGAATAAACTTGCTGGCAAATTCGCATTTATTACACACATCTTACTTCTACTGAAAGTAAGAAAAAGTAAATTTACTATTGGATCGAATGGGGCACGTTTTATCACTGACCATAGGGTGGTATGAGAGGGTCATGAAAAACTTCTCGAAGCCCCCCTAGCGGAATAGGATAGAACTAATAATCACAAACCAGTTAGTGGTGGCCACGAGTGGTCAGTGACGACAGCAATAGTGGTACCTGGGGAGCAGTGTCGGTCAGTACTGGACATGTGGTGGACTTAATGGGCCGGGCGAGCTAGAGCACTCTGTGGGGCCATACACTACTACAGTACGACCGTCAGTGACCACTAACTCTTGGCCACCTTATTTTTGTTGCATTGTCTAGGTCAACGAGATCGTATTGTGCGTCTGCCTTAATCACATCCACTGGTAATATTATGAGAGGAAGATGACCCCTCGGTATTTCTCATCTAACTCACACTTGCATCTGAACTAGTATCACATAGAAAGATTAAGCCAAGTTAATTATTAGAAATGCTCTTATATACTAATGAAGATGTAGAGTTTTTAAATTAATTAGAAATTAACTGCAACACTTTACATTTTTATTACTGTACAGCGATACAATAGATAAATTACCGCATTATACCTTAGGCCTGTAATAACATTTCTTCATTTTTAACAAAAATATAACTAAATTAGTCTTATACGTTATTATTTCCTTGAAAATAATTTCATTTTTTCTATTTATTTACATAAGCATTAGGCCTAAACAAGCCCGAGTTTACATGGTTTTAATATTTTCTATTAGCGAATATCTACGAAGGATTGCTTCTTTTACAATTAAACTTTTTTCTAAAAATAAGCTGAAAGTAAGTATAAATTTATAGACTTATATAAAATTTAATTCCATATTTTTTCAAAGGGTGAGCGAGCGCATCTAACCGGTCAACAAGGTAGAGACTTGATACAGTTTGCGTGTACTAAAAACGTTTATTAACAACTAAAAATACTTAAGCAATAATGGCCTAACTTGCCTTACACTAAATATTACCTTTTTTAGTATATAAATATAATATTTTTATTAATAAAATCTAATCAATTTTTAGCAAAAATTAATTTTTTTTCAGTCTGAAAATTTAAGTTGTATCATAGGCGAATATTCGTGTTAACAAATTACTTCCTAAAGTTTAAATGTTACAAATTCTTTTATAGTATAACACATATTATAGAAATTTAATAAAAGATAAGAAGGATTTAATATTAAAAACTCTATAGGCCTATATAACTTTTATATAAATTTAAGAGAAAAACTTCTGATTTGAATTTAAAAAAAAAAAAACTCTTTTCGCTTTAAATCTTAAGATTTTTTAGTTCTTAAAACGTATTTAAAATGTTATTTTTACATAAATTCACAAAAATAACGTAAAAAAATTCACTATTTTAAAGTCTCAAAAACGCAAAATGCATTTATTTATATAATAATCGATATAAAAAAAAAATAATAATATAAGTAATTAATTTACTGTAAAATATCGTAAAAAGTTAAATAATAATAAAAAAAACACTTTTCTTACTCTTTATAAAAAAAAATAATAATAAAAAAAAAAACATTAATATAAAAGTTGAAAGAAAATTTCAAACACGATAAGACATTAGCATGTGCATAACAAAATATATTATAATAATTTCTCTTAAGAACAATCACGAAATGTTTGGTGATGTGAATATTAATAACGTAGCGACTTGGGGTTCGGTTCCAAGAACCCATAACTA